CCGGTTCACCTCGGTTCATATCTGAAAGGTAGCCGTGCCTTTGCATAGATAGGGGACGACGTTGAGCGTGCAATGATAGAACACACCTACAGGAATTCTTCACAGGAATCTATCATAGCAAGGTAAACTATCGTCTGACTTTGATACAAAGGCACGGCTACCTTTCAAGATGGCGGCAAGTTACAGCGAAGGAGACCATTTCAAGTCTAATGAGAAAGCCTTAAACCAGAGACAGAGATCTTGTGGGCAAAAATGTCAGTAATCGGCACCATCCATTTTGTTGTATGTGTTTTGAAATCCAATACAAATAAAAAAAATGGTTTTCCATATTTGCGCTGCCACACTCCGAAGTAATTGGTATGATTTTATTTTCAGGTTTGACAACGTGGAGGTATGCGTTTCACCGCGCAATGCTATTGCCATTTTGAGTCCATTTTGAGTCCGGCGTTTCTTGATAAAGAACCAGTAATAGAATAGAATAAATTTTATTTCTCTCTTCAATTGTTGTTACAATTTTTTGCATTGTATTAGGTAAAAGTAAATCAGGTGAAAAGATGTCTTATAAATTTTACTAATTTGGTACAAATGTGACAGAGGATTAGGGGTGGCGAATGGTAAAATCGAGACTGTGAGACGGCGAGAATAGCGTTTTTCCTTGCGAGACCGAGACGTCTTGGCTTTTCAAATTGCGAGACCGAGACCGAGACCGAGACCGAGACCGAGACCGAGACCGAGACCGAGACCGAGACTTTTTTAACAGAAGGGACCTTCGTATGAGCCATATATAATATTATAAACAGCCCTATTTCCTGTTGTGAACTAATTTCTCGTCTTATGCGTGGACTTTCCTTTGATATTTTTGATTGACGCGTTAGTGTCACWTGCAACTGCTCTGGAAATCTGCAATTTGAGCTTGTATATGGAAGTGGGTATATCAGTTGGAAGGCTATCAGCAGGGCTTCTGGGTATATTCGTGGAGAAAGTGCTAAGAGATCACTGCGAACATCGATTGTTGTTGGGTCGATTCTGTATAGCGAGACTTTCCTTGCCTGGAATGTGGAGTACATCAAACTGTACAAATTATTGATCAGCAGACAAAGTCCAATCCTCCAATGCGTATTCAAGATTTAAGCTCATTTGTAGACTTGTGATCGCACTTAAACTGTG